TTCACCCCTCTCTTTCTTCCTCTCTCACTCTCTCTTTCTCACTCTTTCTCTCCCCCAGTCTCTCTCTTCTCTCCCACAATCTCTCCTCTCTCTCTCCCACGGCCAATCGGCCACCGGCCCGCCTCTTTCACCCCCTCTTTTCTTCCTCTCTCTCATTCTCTCTTTCTCTTCTCTCTCTCCCTTCTCTCTATCTCTCTTCTCTCTCTCAATCTCTCCACTCTCTCTCTCACAACCAATCAGGCCGGCGACTAAGCCGCCAGCCCACCTCCTTCAACCCCTCTTTTTTCCTCTCATTCTCTCTCGGTCACTCTTTATTCTCTCTCTCCCTCTCCTCTCTCTCTTTCTCACGACCAATCGGGCCGACAGCCACTCTTGTTTCTCTCTCTATGGCCACGCTCCCTTTCTCTCTCACACTTCTCTCTTTTTCCCTCTTCTCTCTCTCGATCTCCCTCTTGTCAGCCGCCAGCCCACCTCCTTCACCCCCTATCTTACTTCCTCTCTCTCATTCTCTCTTTCTCATCTCTCTCTCTTGTTCGAGCCGGCAGCTAAGCCACCGGCTCCATCATCTTCACCCGCTCTCTCTTCGATCTCCCTCTCCCTCTTCTCTCTCTCGTCTCTCCTCTCTCTCTCTCCCATGGCCAATCGGGCCGATGGCCCACCTCCTCCTCTTTTTCCTCTCTCTCTCCTTTTCCCTCTTCTCTCTCTCTCCTTTTCCCTCTTCTCTCTCTCGGTCTTCCTCTCTCTCCCTCTTTGTCTCCCTCTTCTCTATATCTATCGAGCCGGCGGGTAAACCGTCGACTCCTTCACATCCTCCTTCTCTCTCCTCTCGATTTCTCTCTTACTCTCTCTCTTATTCCCTCCCTCATCCTCTCGATCTTCCCTTCTCTCTTCTCTCTCCCTCTCTCTATTCCTCTCGATTTCTCTCATCTCTCTCTCCTCGCGGTCTCTCTCTTGATCTCCTCTCTCTCCCAACCTCTCTCTTGTGCTTTCTCTCCCCTTTCTCCCTCTTCCTCTCTCTCCTCTCAATCATCTCTCCTCTTGGTCTTCCTCTCTCTTCTTCCTTTCTCTCCCTCTTCCTCTCAATCCCTCTCTCCCCTCACTCCCTCTCTCTCTTCTTCTCTCTACTCCTCTCACTCTACTTCATCCTCTACTCTCTTTCTTCTCTCTAAAAATTCCTTTACCCTCATATCTCTTATACTCTTTTTACACTAGCTCTTCTATCATCATCTCACCCAAGACATTTTGCTATATTTATTCGTTTATTTATTTATTTGTTTATTTTGTTTGTTTGCCAAGATGGTTGACAAGATGTTTGACAAGATGGTGCCGAAAGGTTGTCAAACCAACAAATAGTCTCGTATCATCCCACCTTTTTATATATACCTCTCTAATCACAAGTCCGAATCTTCTGACCCACTTGTCTGGCAACCTTGTGTGTTCATGAGCCGCAGAGTGCAAAGCAAGGAGACTAAAGCCGAACCAGCCTCGGGCTTGGGGGGCTTTCCGTCGTGATCTAAGAGGGCACCTGAGAACGCCCGAGCGTGTCACGAATCCACCGTGAGGTAACCTCACATCCCATAATCCTCTCTCATTAGTTGGTACCTGTCCGCACCTGCACCTCACGCACTGCGGTTCCTGAGAGAGCGATCTCAAGCTGGACCCGAACTCGGGCCTCCTCACGTTCATCCGACCCATCGAGATCGAGGCCCAACCAGTTGTTCCTTCTTTTGGTGCATCTGGTGGTTTGCTATGGCCTTTTAATGCCTCTATGCTTTTATTTGGCAATTTCATTTCGTCGCATGCATTGCTTGATCTTAATTTTTTGGGGACCATTTTTACTTTGTCCAAAAATTCTGCAATGAACTTTTGATAGATATATGTTTAATTTGGATGTCAAAACAATTATCGACACGTGTAATAAATTTTACAATCATGTTATTTCCCACTATTTGATTCCAATAAATAAATAGTTCGCACTCATGTGGTTCAAAATCATGGTATACAATATATACAGCGACCATAATGTTATCTCCCACTATTTCCAATCCATAAATAGTTCACACATGTGTGGTTTAAAATCGTGGTATACAATATGCAATATGAATAGGCCATAAGTGCGGAATTTCTAACAACATAAGTTGATCTTATGTGCCCAAGGATGTATGATGGTCACAAGCTACTTCAAAGGACTACATATATGTTCATGCATAGAAATGGATCTTAGGGAGAGAGAGAGAGAGAGAAACTCGAGCCACTCCACGGTTAAGCAGTTGTTGAATTTTATACTACCATTAGTGCTGCCACCGGCCCTATTGAGGACCAAAAATGGCCTGGCCTTGATATATATATATATATATGGGTGAGATCTCTCTCTTCAAGTATTTCTTTCAAGTTCTTCTCCTCGTAAAAAAGCTGTGTACATTTGTGATATTCTTCCAGTATTCGTGCATCTATTGTTAATAACTCATGTACAATCTTGATTAGGGTAGGATTCGATAGAGTTGATGATAACTTTCTATTGCCATGAGCTGCAAAGACTAAAAGGATCATCCAACACAAGTATGTAATTCACGTTGGGTGGAAAAGAGGAAATTTAGTTTGCAAAATATTAAACAACGTTGCGATCTTGCACTGTTGGAGTAACGTGCACATAGAGAAGTGCCCCGATGTAGGAGAACATTTTGATTGATCATCTCGACCTTAAGATGTGAGGATATAAATAAATAATAATAAAATTTAAATTCATAACTAGGAATGAAATTGATTTTCAAAACATCATAAGATTTTAGGTACTAAAGCTACATCTCCAAACAAATTTTGGTGACGCACCTAACTTGTACCGTATAGTGAGAAAGCCTTGTACTAACCTTACCTATTAGTTTAGCAATGTCTATATGACATAGAGAGACATGGCTTTATTTAAAGCCAAAAAGTTTCTTTAAAGCCAAAAGGTTTCATGCTCCTAAGAGAGCGTATTATCCATTTACTCCCTCCGTCAAAACCCAACCTACAATAGGACCCCAAATTTTTGGAGTATAACATCTTCAAGCCATATGCTATAATCATTATAAAAGTTCAAATTACATAACTAGGAATGAAATTGATTTTCAAAACATCAAAAGATTTTAGGTACTAAAGCTACATCTCCAAACAAATTTTGGTGACGCACCTAAGTACAGTGAGAAAGCCTTGTACCAACCTCACCTATTAGTTTAGCAATGTCTATATGACATTGAGACACATGGCTTTCTTTAAAGCCCAAAGGTTTCATGCTCCTAAGAGAGCGTATTATCCATTTACTCCCTCCGTCAAAACCCAACCTGCAATAGAACCCCAAATTTTTGGAGTATAACATCTTCAAGCCATATGCTATAATCATTATAAAAGTTCAAATTACAATCTCTATGGGCTTGAAAGTAAATAATGCCTCAAATATGAAGCATCTTATTGCTTTAAAATAATTAACATACATGCCACATGTCAACGAGGAATCATGGTGGGTGCACTAACATATGTACCACAAACGTTTTTGATAGAAAAGTCTGTTGCTATTAATCTTTAGGAAAGTATTGGATGAATCTAGTAACACCCTCAATTGTCAGAATTTCGATTAGAGTTGATTTTAGGATCCATGTACTCAATATAAATGGTCTTATAATACAAGATTCATTTTCTAATGATAAATACAATAGTAAAACGACAAAGGAAAATTGTTTCATGCGGGCTAGACTGCATTTCCACATATGCGGTTCTGAAATAAAAAGCATTTATCTTAAATACGGATGCACATAAGCGTTCCATCTAGAAAACAGTTGAAACTAAAAAACAGTTGAAACTAAAGCTTATACAAAATTAAGCTTTTTTTTTTTGTGGAATTACTATAGGCATAATTAAATGCCCATTGCAGGTATGAAACACCGACTACAATGAACAAATAAATAGACATGGAGTTAAAGTCCTGGTTCCTAAGGGTCGCGATCCCAGATTTCATGAATCAAGGAGCTTATACTTTTGGGATCGGGATCCACATTCCTCATGAGCGAGCTCCATAGATTATAGGATCGGGGTCATAGCCTTGTTAGGATCTAGTTCGGAGAACGTCGGTATCGCGATCTAAAAATTCTGGGAGCGGGGATCTAATTTGTTTGGGAACCACATCTATAATGTTACGAAACGCGTTCCATGAAACAATGGGAGCAAGATTCGTGAAGTAGAGGGAGCGAACTCCATTGTAAATGGGATTGAGATCCATGAATTAGCCGGAGCGAGCTCCATTGTGAATGAGAGAGAGATCCATGAAGTAGTGAGAGCGAGCTCCGTTGTGAATGGGAGCAAGATCCATGAAGTAGCTGGAGCGAGCTCCGTTGTTAATGGGAGCAAGATCCATGAAGTAGAGGGAGAAAACTCCGTTGTGAATGGGATCGAGAATCCTAAAAATTGGAGCGAGATCCCAAAAAGTTGGGAATGGGTTTCTGGCGAGGTCCCGGCTCTAGAATGCCGGAGCTCGATTATGGAGTGGGAGCGCCCTCCTGGTAACTATGCATCAAACTGTTTCTCATAAAAATAAAACTTCTATAAATCTTTGCTTCATGAGCACTACAAGGACAGCTAATGATTTCAGATGAAATCCTCTACTCCATAGATTCACTAGTTTGATCCTACTGGGACCTAGAAAAATTTGTTTCAAGATTACAATATGTTGATTTTAAAACAGATCTAACAAAAGATAGAAGATCATGCAATGATCTAGTCCTACAAAGAGAAAACCTCAAAAAAGAAAAAAAGAGGGATCTAGAGAATGCAATTACCTGGTTTGAGGGAGAGAGAAACCTCCTTGAGGCTCTGCCCGGAGCTTCTTCCTGCAATCGCAGTACTTCGAGAGAGAAACCAATACTAAAACTGTGTGAGAGAGAGAGAGAGAGAGGAGAGCGAAAAGGGTTTGATTGAATGAGTTCGGGGTGGTTTTATTGGGTTAGTAGGATTAAGATCCAACGGTCATCTTGGGGCCCCATCTAACGGTCATCTTTGGGTCCCAACGGTCATCTGACGGATCCATCCAACGGTCATCTTTGGGACACTTCGTATACAGATGGTTTCTTCATTCAATCCTAAAGATTTCGTGCTAGCACATTATTCATTCACTCCCTGGGCAAAACCCTAAATTTGGGGTACAACATTTTCAACCCATATGCTGTACTCAATGAAAGAAATTTCCAAAGTGCATTTTCTATGTGCTGTAATTTGCATAAGGTTATAACCTTAACAATCACATTAAGGCGCACCTCCAAATTTTATAATAACATGTAATTTCGTTATAAAAAATTTTTACGATAGCCTAAAAATCTATTTTTATCTCAATTATAAAATTTTAAACTCCAAAAGTAGTACAAATCAAGTACATGATCTATAAACTTGAAAATCTTGAAAATGGACGGTTCAGATAATGCGTTGCAAGATGCATTATTTTAGTGATCGAAATCTTTTTTTCTTTTTTTCTGTTTTTCATATTCATATATCTCGAAGTCGAGATGATCAATTAGAGGATTTTTTAACCTTATATAAAATTTTTCTTTCTCTTTCAGCATTAAAAAAAATATAATGCTTCAAGATTAAATAGAAACCGTCTAATTTTTGTAGTGAGATCTAAGTATTTGAATCTCAAAATTCAGTTCTTTGTTCTAAGTATTTGAAATCTCAAAATATCTCCATGGACTCTATTTTTAAGTTTCCTTTTTTTATAGACTCAAAGTTTTAAAATATATCTTCTAACCCCAACCCAATTTTTTCATCATTACCGATCTTTTTTGTCCAAACCAATTAGAAAAAAACCTCATTTCTAAACCCTCTCTCCATGTGTTTCTCTTTCTAAACCCACCCTCTTTTCTCTCCACGCATTTCTCTCTCGCAACCCCCATGAATCTCCGAACCCCTCTTTCTCTCCCATACTTCTCCCTCTTTCTCTCTCCTTGTGAATCTTCAAACCTCTGTCTTCCGTACTTCCCGCAACTCTCGGGGAGCAAGGCTTCTTCTTCTCATACCATTGCAACATGGACCAGCAGAGCTCATTCCACTATGTCGGCCTCTTTTTGGCATACAAGAGAAGGGCTTTGTTTTCGTTGTAGAGTATGAATTTGCAGCAAGGTCAAAGCGGCTTGGGAGTTTGTGAGCTAATACTGGAGAGAGAGAGTGAGAGAGAGAGATGGTATTTTGCTCTTTGTTAGAGAAAAGAGAGATGGTATTTTGCATTTTGGTAGAGGGAGAATGGCATACTCATTTTCTAGACAAAGAGTGAGTGAATGTGATGCTCTTTTGAAGACAGAGAAGTTGTGTTGTGTTTGTAGAGACATACCAAGTTTATGGCTTTTTCATGGAGAGGGAGTTCCTATGAGTTTTTTGTTTTAGAGAGAGAGGGGGATTCTTTTGTTTTAGAGAGGGTTTAGAGAGAGAGGGAGAGAGAGGGGGGGATTGTGGGTCAAAAACAGCAATCGGCATAGAGAGAGGGATTATTGAAGCTTGAAACCGTCGCTTTTTTATAATATGAGCATTGAAACATAAACATATTTCTACTTCTTCTTCCCATTCTTCTTGCTATTCTTCTTCTCTCTTTTATTGCTATTGCACTCCTGGTTCTTTTCTTCTCTCTCTAACTCTCCTCTCCGCTGTTTCTCGTTCTTTTGATGGACACATGTTGGCTGCCTGCAAAGAGCATCTGTGATAACGGTCTCCATCTCTCTCTGCAAAAACCTTTATCTTCAAAGTGAGGGAGAAGGATTAGGGTAAGCACGAGGGAAAGAGAGGGAGAGACCCAGGGATAGACCTTTATCTTCAAAAAGAGGGAGAAGGATTTCGGTAAGCACGGGGGAGAGAGAGAGGGAGAGACACGGGGATCGCGGGAGAAAAAAAGTTGGAAAAGTAGAGATTTAAGGAGAGAGAGTAGGGGTTTAGTTTTTAGAAAATGATATCATTTTAAAATTTCTTTGGGCTAAAAAGATGAATTGAAATTGGGTAAAATTGTTCCAGGGGTTAGAAGATATGATAAATAAAATCTCTATACCCCAAGATAGATTTTGAAACTTTGGGTCTATGGAGAAATGAAACTTAAAACTAGGGTCTATACAGATATTCTACCTATTAATGTGTGTGTGTGCCTACTATTATATATCATTTTTTACGTATTTGTATCCATGATACGAATAAGAAGAAAGCCAGTAGTAACCCGGTCCCGCCGGTTACTACTGCAGCAATAAGCCAAAAACTGAGCGACCTCTAAAGAAGTATCATAATGGTTTCAAATTGTACGATATGGTAGTTTGGGATATCCTAAGGACACCTATATAGTTTCATCGCGTTCTAATAAATTTTGATATGATCATGACGAAATTCAGTTTTCAAATCCAATTCCTATCGTGCTAAAAATGGACCCTACAACTACAGCCATATTTTTTGGGTCTCAAAACTGTACCAAACCACCCCCATTGAATTCTGAACGTCGAAAATCCCCTATGGAGTAAATTTGGGCTCAACCAGACCCTCCAGGACTATTATAGGCCTAACTTACCATAAAAATGTGGGTTTTACATTAGTACGAGCAGCTTCAGCGAACAAATTTCTATTTATGGAAACTGTGTTTTCTCATTTTATGATGATTTTCAAATGATCATAACTAGCTCGTTTTGTGTCCAATTAAGCTCAAATTTGGACGGGAACTAGATGTTGACAGCCCGATCATTTTGATATAAGGCATGTATCATGGCGTGGCCCGAAACGATAAAATTTTTAGAGAAAAGATGAGCTCATAAACATGAAAATTCAGATCTTATACAAGAGAACATCTTATTCTTGGAAAGGTCATAGCTCAAGATCCCGGTGTCGGATCGTCGCAAATATGAATATGTTGCGATCGTGCTTCGAAGAGCTACAGTTTGATACAGTTTTTTATGTATGATCGGAGTCGAATGACATAAATTTTGAGGTTGAAAATGGCATATTTTTTCGGTCCCCAGAATCCCATTTTTCGACGACTTCTCAAATTTGGAATATGCTCAAATGGAGATCAAAATGGACAAACTTTAGTGTAAAATGATTATGACAGTGTCCTCTTTGATTTGTGATAAAAATAAAAACTTAAAACGTCATAGATCATATTACATTGATGGTTGAAGAATTGCAAAGTTTATGGACTCGACCGGATTTTGGGTTCTTCCTAAAAAATCCGTTTCAAGACGATCAAAGGGTATCAAGATGTTCACAAAAGTTCAAGCATCAATTCTACGACGATTAATTGCTCGAATTACCATCATAATGTTTGAAAAAAGTCCCGAAGACTAGCAATGGCAAGAAGCCCCTTATGGAGGCATGGTTTTGTCATTTGTTGAAAAGTGCTTAGGGCTATTTGGGTCATTTGGTCAAATATCGCCAGAATCCCATAT